AATTATGCATTTTAAACAGAATCTAAATTATTTTTAGTAATGGATTTTTGTCCTGGAGGTGATCTTTCTAAATTATTAGATATAAAAAGAAAATTACCAGAAGAAGATGCTAAAATATATGTAGCAGAAATATTATTAGCTATTGAATGTTTACATAAAAATAATATTATATTTAGAGATTTAAAACCAGAAAATGTAGTATTAGATTCAGAAGGTCATGCTTTATTAACAGATTTTGGATTATCTAAAAAAGGAGTAACAGATGAAGAATTAAATAAATCATTTTGTGGTTCACCTGCATATTTACCACCTGAAATATTATCTAAATAAGGACATAATAGAATGGCAGATTGGTATGGTTTAGGTGTAATGACATATGAATTATTGGTTGGTATTCCTCCATATTATGCTAATGAACGTGAATAATTATTTGATAATATTAGAAAAGGACCATTAAAAATACCAAGAAGTTTATCTAATGAAGCAAAATCATTTATAGTAGCTGTAAATTATTATTATTATTATTATTATTTAAGTTATTAAATAGAGATCCAAATAAAAGATTAGGATCTAATTTAGATGGAGAAGAAGTTCGTGAACATTCTTGGTTATCAAATATTAATTGGAAAGATTGTTATGATAGAAAATTAAAACCATCTAAACCAATAGAATAGAAATATAATAATGTACCATTAAGAATTAATTTTATGGATACAGATGAAAATAAAAATAAAATAACAGGATGGACATTTTTTGAAGAATCATGAAAAATTATCACATATTCTCTTACATGAATCATTTTTAAATGACCAATTTTCTATATGATGTTCCAATTTACTATCTAAACTCTATTTTTAATCTACTATATTTAAAGCTAATAATGTTTCTATCAATAAAAATAATGAATCTTAAGTGTAATCATTTTCTCTATCAAAATAATCATCAGGAATTTTCTTTAATTATTCTCTATAATCTATTCCATCCTATATATCATTCAATAATAAAATTGTTAATAAATCAAAATAATATTCATTTACTTAATATTTATTTAATAATAAAACTAATTGATTTCCTAATTATTAATCAATTATTGAATTTATTAATTATATTAAAGGTTAATTCAATTAATCAAATTATATAATCTATTTCTTAATCTTTTCTTTATCAAATTAATAATTTATTTACATATAAATTATTGATTGAATCCAACATTAATGATTACATTATGAGAATATTTTTAATGCTTATTCAAATATCTATTTTTAAGGATTAGGATTTAACAAAAGAATTTCTATCTCCTTAAAATAATCATTTTCCAAACATATTTACATCATTTATTTTACTATTATCTCATCTCTTAAATCCATATATAACATAGAATTTATAACTAATCTTAAATCAATATGATCTATTTCATTTAATTTCATGATTAAATAAGAACAATCTATATATCTATTATGTCTTGCAGCTATAAGTATTAATAATGAACATATCTTTGGATATTATACAAAATTATTTATATCCTAAATTTCATAATCAATGTTGTGTTTATCAAATATTTATAAAATATCCTAAGCTAAATTAGCATATTATTAATCTGATATCCATTAGAAAGAATACTATAATGCATTCATTAATAATGTCTTCAATTCTTAAATTCTTTCACTTTTAACATCAAGTAAATTTTTTATATAAAATGAACATCTTCTAGTCTCACCTTAACAATCTCTAGAACGTTATAATTTAGCACAACATTCAAGTTCTAAGATCATTTATCTTCTTTCATCTGAATAATCAAGTAAATTCTACAAACACAACTTTACAATTTATTCAATCATTTAAATTATAATTAATAAATATAACAAAAGATATCATATTTAAATATTCCTAATTTTCTAATATTAAACTTATATGAATAATTATAATATATATATAAATCCTTGTACATCAAATTATACTTAATTTCTCACCATAAGGGTAACACATTTCACTTAAATAAGATGGAACAGTAATAGCTGCTTCAGATTTGGAAATAGCCAAAATATCTTCAGAATTAAAACCTACAGTCTTTTTCAAACATTAAAGATTCTATTATTTTATATATAAAAAAATAATTACTTTTTTATCAAGTGTGGATAAATTTGGATGAGTTAAGATCATTCTTAAGAGTTACCTTAAATAAGTAACTGGATGGAATTATAATATATAATATCTTTCTACTAATAGATTGACTACATCATGTAATTATTATTCAGTTGTATTTTCATATTAACATTTAAATATATTATTCCATAATTCCTAATTGTGTTAATCTAAAAGAGATAAATCAAACTTTTCTGCAGATTTAGCATGTATCCAACTATATACATTTTATAATGGATAATCAGTTTCATTCATTGATTCAATATGTTGATCTGATACTTTTCCTACTTACAACATTTCTCTAAGATCTTTTAATTCTTCATCATTTAATCTAGATTCTTCAATCCAAATTAATTTTTCCTATTATTATAAATATAATTAATTATCTCTTCTTCTAAAATGATGTTAAATTCCTTATTTTTTATAATACTTATTGCTTAAAATATCCAAGAATAATTAATCATCAAATAATTGACTTAATTATAATAATAAATCACTAGCACTAAAATCTCCAAATTATTTGAAATCTGAATGAATTAGATCATCAAATTATATATCTTTTATACGTAATTAAGTAACTTAAACATTTGGTTAATAAAGACTCAAAGAATCTAAAAATTGTAATTCTTAATTATTTAATTATTTGCCTTCCATTTACTTATTCATCAAATAATAAGTAATCAATTTTTCTTCTGCTCTTGATCTCTTTCTTGTAACTAATTGATCCATTCCATATAATAAATCTACATCAAGATATCTATCAGGTGATTATTAAACTTCTAATTTTTCAATATCATTTTCATCAAATAAAATATCAATATAATTAGTTTTCTATTTATAATATGGAGAAGAATGTTTTCTTCTTAATTCACCCTTTATTTCTTAAATTTTATCATGAAGAATATTATTAATTTTACTAACAATATTTTTAGCTTATAATTTATTAATTTCTTTATTCTTAACATCTTCTTACAATTTCATTAATAATTCCTTTCTCATTTTAATTAAATCATCTAATGTTTTATTGACTTATAATTTCTTTTTTAAATATTGAGTTGTTAAAAATGGATTATATTATTTTATTTGCTCATTCAATAACACTTCTGGATCCCTTTATAAATATANTGTCTATATCATAATACCTATAGCAGGAGTTAAACTATTATCTTTTACTGTAATATAAAATATAAAAAAGGCACCTAAAAGTTAATATGGTACTAAATAAACTTAAAATCTATTAATAAAGTAATTTGATGATTATAAAACATCAACTTAAAGCATATTAATTAAATCACCAGGATTATATTTTGATGAACGTTATAATGGAAATTTTAGAGTATGTTCCATTAATTAAATTTGTAATGCTCCTTAAATTTTAATGGAAACTATAGCCTATAAAAATTATTATATAGGTTAGAATATTGAAAGAGTAATGTAATATAATAATTGCAAAATAGCAAATACTAATATATTTGTTGTTGTATAGATTCTATTTGGATCAACAAAATAACTTTAAGCTTTGCTCATCATAAATGGTAAACTTAATTGTATAGTACAAGTAAACCAATATATTAAACAATTAAGGAATATATGAACTAAAAATAATAATTAATTACATTTGAATGAATTCCATAATGATTATCTTAGATCAGGAAATAATTCATAAGATTTGATAAATGTTTTATAACTAGTAAGTGATGAATATTCTTTAAGAACTTTTGGTATTTACTTTTGATTGAGTGGCTATTTTGATCCTTGCTAAAAATATTTATAAATGTAAGATCAATACTTTAAATATATTATATATCCATAAAAATAAGTATGTTTTTATAGTTCCTATTCGTTGACTGGATGTATTAATTCCTAATAAGCTCTCTTCTTATTAACCCTTATTATCTACTTTATTCATAAATATATTTATTTCATATGGATTCTAAAGACAAATTAAGTTATATAAATAAATATTTATTCCACAAAATATAACATTTTATAATATTAAAATTATGATGCAATTTTAATAATAGCAATTTCAATAAATATATAAATGAATAATAATAACAATTATTATATATAAATCCTTGTACATCAAATTATACTTAATTTCTCACCATAAGGGTAACACATTTCACTTAAATAAGATGGAACAGTAATAGCTGCTTCAGATTTGGAAATAGCCAAAATATCTTCAGAATTAAAACCTACAGTCTTTTTCAAACATTAAAGATTCTATTATTTTATATATAAAAAAATAATTACTTTTTTATCAAGTGTGGATAAATTTGGATGAGTTAAGATCATTCTTAAGAGTTACCTTAAATAAGTAACTGGATGGAATTATAATATATAATATCTTTCTACTAATAGATTGACTACATCATGTAATTATTATTCAGTTGTATTTTCATATTAACATTTAAATATATTATTCCATAATTCCTAATTGTGTTAATCTAATAGAGATAAATCAAACTTTTCTGCAGATTTAGCATGTATCCAACTATATACATTTTATAAAGGATAATCAGTTTAATTCATTGATTCAATATGTTGATCTGATACTTTTCCTACTTATAACATTTCTCTAAGATCTTTTAATTCTTCATCATTTAATCTAGATTCTTCAATCCAAATTAATTTTTCCTATTATTATAAATATAATTAATTATCTCTTCTTCTAAAATGATGTTAAATTCCTTATTTTTTATAATATTTATTGCTTAAAATATCCAAGAATAATTAATCATCAAATAATTGACTTAATTATAATAATAAATCACTAGCACTAAAATCTCCAAATTATTTGAAATCTGAATGAATTAGATCATCAAATTATATATCTTTTATACGTAATTAAGTAACTTAAACATTTGGTTAATAAAGACTCAAAGAATCTAAAAATTGTAATTCTTAATTATTTAATTATTTGCCTTCCATTTACTTATTCATCAAATAATAAGTAATCAATTTTTCTTCTGCTCTTGATCTCTTTCTTGTAACTAATTGATCCATTCCATATAATAAATCTACATCAAGATATCTATCAGGTGATTATTAAACTTCTAATTTTTCAATATCATTTTCATCAAATAAAATATCAATATAATTAGTTTTCTATTTATAATATGGAGAAGAATGTTTTCTTCTTAATTCACCCTTTATTTCTTAAATTTTATCATGAAGAATATTATTAATTTTACTAACAATATTTTTAGCTTATAATTTATTAATTTCTTTATTCTTAACATCTTCTTACAATTTCATTAATAATTCCTTTCTCATTTTAATTAAATCATCTAATGTTTTATTGACTTATAATTTCTTTTTTAAATATTGAGTTGTTAAAAATGGATTATATTATTTTATTTGCTCATTCAATAACACTTCTGGATCCCTTTATAAATATATACCAGAAGGTTTAGTTGATTTTTGGATGATAATCTCTCTTATATTAATTTATCCCATATTTTCATATTAAATACAAAATCAGAAATTTCAGGTAATGATTTAGATTTCAATTCTGCATTCAAATTCAATAGATTGGCAATGAATAAATCACTTGAATCATGATGATAATCCTTTTAATCTTTTTATAAGAAACTATATAATTAATTAAGTTTTTCAATTTCTTAATCTGATTTTTTATTTGAATGTTTCTTCCAAGCAAGAGAATAAGATTAAACAACTATTTATTATCTACGTTTGTCAGAATGTGGAAATGGTATTACATCTGAAATAAAACCATTATCTTCTAATCTCTTAAATAAATCTTATTCTGGACAATATGTAGGATCATATATTCTATTAGTAATCAAACTAGCTTTAAATCCTTCAATAGTTGATTTAGGATTATATATAGATTAAGATGGAATCATTCCATACCATTTTGGAAACTTAATTGGTTAAACATTTATTTGATCAATTAAATCTTATGAACACATTATTTTAATTCACAATTCTTAATCTTTCTTATAAATCAAGTAAAGTTTATTTTAATTTTAATTTATTTAAATTATCATTCTTATTTAAATAATTCAATGCTCTTTTCTTTAAATATTACCACTAAGCATTAAATATTGTTTATGAAGTCAATTCTTTACTATTTTCTTCTACTTACACACTTTCCAATCTATCTTTGATTTTATTGAATAAAATGATATCAGAATTTTCAAAATTAAATGCTAATTGCAACTTCTATTTGAATTATTCTTTATCTTTACCTAAGAAATCATATAAAGTCATATATGGTTATGAACCAACTCTTAATTATGCATAACCATTAATTTCATTATTTACACTTAAATCATAAATCTCAATTAATTATACTGATTTAGGTAAAGTATCTTTAATAGCCTTATATAATTCACTATGATTTATATCCTTTTCTTCATAAATTAATTTCTATCCTGAATGTTTTTCTAATACATCAATTCTTATTTATTATTTTTCATTCAAATCTCTAATTGTATTTAAATTCTTAACTCTAAACTTTAATTCTTCAATGAATGCTTCATTATTTTGATTTTACAATGCCAAATATGTAGCATAAGCAATTAATTCATCTAAAGAGAGAATAGTTAAATTATCAGGTAATGAGAATTTTCTATCTGTTTTATTCAATTATAAATGAAGATGCAATGAATCTAATGAATTAAGAAGTTCTTCATCAGTAACTTAAGCTAAATATTCTCTACTTTCAGAATTGAGACCAGCATTAGCAAAGGCTTTAGCTAATTTATATTTATCTGAGTGAACTAATAAAGGTTATGCATTCTTTAATCTTTATGCAATTTCATGTCCTTTATATTCAGACACAGCTACCATCAAATCTCCAAAATCAGATAATTTTGGTTCAATTGGTTTAACTTAATCTCTGTGTATTAATTACATTTCTAATATACAAATTAAAAATGCCATAAGATCTGGGTCTTTTCCTGAAATATATGAAAGTGCTGTTTCTAATGATAATGAAACATCTTCATTTTCAATTTCAGCAGGATGTAATAATCCTTAAGATACTAAAGCTTCTTCAAATTCCATCATTTTAATATTAGTATTAACATGAACCCAATCAGATTTTTAGATTTCAAGTAATTTTAAGTAAACTCTTCTAATTTCTACAATTGCTTCTAAAACATTGAATACATCAGATTATGTTTATTCAATTAATTTTTCAACTTCATAAATTAGATTATTGACAGGTATTTCTTATTTTTCTTCAAAGATTTCTAATAAGAATGCTTCAATTAATTATTTTTCATCAGGATTTAATTCTTTAGCATCTAATTATTAAAATACTTTATCAACTATCTAATCACTATATAAATCAACTCCTGTAATAGATAATCCATGAATTGCTTCAGCTAATACTCTATAATCATTCAATTTTAATAAATCTTTGATTAAGACATCAAAACCCATAGATGTTTCTATTTATTTATGATCAAAATATGTTCTATCTCCTCTTGCTTTTAAAGCATGTCCTAATTAAACAAATGTTTATCCAACAATTTCTTCATTTGAATATTCTCTTTTCTAAAGAAATGCAGCTAAAATAGTTTTAGCAGGCACATTAGATGTAAAGAAAGCATGATTTTACATTTTAAAGGCAGCTTATGTATTTTGATCAATTTATTTTTGTAATTAGATTGCTAATAAATATAGATGAATTATGAATACCTTTATTTAAAGCCTTCTTAAATTATTCAAGTTATGACTTGAATATTTATTTACATTTGAGATATTCATACTCTTCACTTATTCTAAAGAGAGATCTCTATATATATTTAATCATAATTAAAAGATTTTAATATTTTTATATTCATTTTTTCTTCTTTGTCAATGCTGCTGCCATTTCTTAAAGTTTAGACTCAATCTCAACTTATCTATCTTTCAATCTTGTTTCCAATTCTTATTATGCTAAACTCAATTTATCTTGTATAGCATTCATAATAACAGAATCCAATAATTCTTCATCTGTAGGTTCATGATATTCTATTTCTTACTCTTCCATCTCAGTCTTCTTAAAAGATTAAGTATCATCATTCACAATAGGTTTGTAATATGTATGATCTTCTAATGAAGGTTGTGGTAAAGGTAACTCTATTTATAAATCTACTTGGATTTCTAAAGGTCTTTAATTATGAGAATGTGCTTAATGTAACAATAACCAATGAGATAGATAACCTATATTAGAATTGATCTTATTTATATACCTTTTTCAATATATTCTATAATTGGTTATAATTACTTAGCCATAAATACTTTATGACATCCTTATCCATCAGTACTATGTTGTGATAATAATTATTAAAATAATTTTCTGTCTCCTTATATTGATTTACCTCTTGTTAATCCTCCTTCTACTAATTTACCAAACTTTTCATGTTGATTAATATAAACTAAAAACATCATATTAATGAATATTAATGCTTGATCTCCATTAAATCCAAAATCTTAACAAGCATTAAAATCATTAATCAATTATTCCCCTGCAATTTCAATATCAATGTCTCTTAATTTTTCACAATGATTCCTTTCCAAAATCTAAATTCACAATTAATTATTCTACCTTACACAAATATTCCTTTATCAAATTACTCGCATCCTCTTATTGAAATACTTCATTTATTATATATTGACTAATTGGCAATCCCATACTTCACATATTCTGTAACTATTACTTTGTCCTATATCGACCACATCCATATTTTCTCTCCTCTTCCTATCTTAATTATTCTTCTATTTGTCTCTTCCTCTCTTCCTCTGCTAATCTTGCTGCTTCCTCTTCTTTCTTATTCTTAGGAGGCATAATTAATATTATAATTTATGAATTATTAACATAATGTCGAATTCAAATGCAAAAACTTTTTTTTATAATATTTACATTAAAATCGCTTAAATATCATTATAAAACCAAAATATATGATATATAATGCAATTCAAAAATATAGAAATTAAGATATTAAAAATTTAAAGATTCAAAATTTCTTTTAATATTCTATATTTTTGAATAGAAAATATTCCATTTCCAAATTCTATTAATTATATACATATAATTATGATAATAATAGAAATTTTCCAATAATATATCAATTAATGAGTTAGACTCCAGTATCTTAAACCTCAATAATAAGAACTTTAATTGTAGATCCTCAGAGCATTAATTAGGATTTAATTTGTCTGATTTGTTCTCAATTAGTTGTGAATCCTAAAGAATGTAGTTAATGTCATACTCTATTTTGTTCAGAATGTATACAAGAATCATTAATAAAAAACTGTATAAAGTATATTAATTTCATAGAAATATGTCCAAAAAGATGCAAAGAAGCTTTTAAGGTGGAAGATATAAATAGAATAGTCAAAAACTTAATCTCTTAAATAAAAATAAAATGTTTAAATAAAGGATGTGATCAATAAATGTAAATATAAAACTTAGATTCTCATTTGAAGTAATGCGAATATGTATTAACAAAATGTCAATATACTGATTGTAATTTACAAGATAGTTTAAAAAATATTAAAGTTCATTAATAATATTGTAATCACAGAACTAAAACTTGTGAAAAATGTGAAGAAATTCATAAGATTAATCAATAACATGATTGTATAGTGACTATAAGAAAAAAAGTTAAATTATAAGAGGACCTCATTATGGTATTATATACAAGAATGGATTGGTTGGAAACTTAATAAAAATGCTTTCAAGGAAAACACTAATTGAAATGGGTATTTCCTCCCAAAATAGCATAATGTAATTAATGCAAAAAAGAGAATTTAAAAGTAAGATACCTATGCGAACAATGTGGTGTTAGTTATTGTCAGATGTGCATGAAGCCAAAACTTAATAATTAACAATGTCCTCTTAATCATAATTTTATTTAAAATTTTAATAGATAGAGAAGGGGTTCAAAAGAATGTGATTGTTGTGGAACCTAAATATTCTCTAGAAGCTTTTATGATTAGATCTGTGATTTAATTCTCTGCCGTACCTGTTATGAACAGAATTGAGAAGATTAAAAGAAATATCAAGATTGGTGAGATATGGTTTTTTATAAAAGCTTAAAATAATTTAAATCTGTTTTTTAAATATAAACAATATGATTATTTTATAGAATTTAAATTAATTTTAGTATTGGATTTTGAAGATAAGAAATTAAATCAAAGTTAATATTTTCTGAGTTGTATTTATAAATCTTAGATTTATTTCTAATAGTTCATTTACATTCTTTTCATTTGTTCTTATAATGATGTAATTTGTTATGAGTATAATTTAATGGTTCTATTCAAATTCACTATCTAATCTAGTTTATTATTAATTTTACGCTTCTTGCTTCTTCTTATTCAAAATCACTTGTTTATTGTTCTCTTGATATTTATACTTTAACTTCTTTCTCTTTTTCAAGATTTTCTAATCTTTGTCCCATCTTTTCAAACTTTTTCTAATAATGATGATCAAGTAATGTAATTTTTGAATCTCCTAATTATTTTTATTATTTATCAATTGTATTTTCAATATGTGAAGGTCTACCACTAAAAAGTAATTTTTCATATTATTAGTCTCTTATGACACAATTCTATACTTTTCTTTCAATTGAATCAAGTAATTAATGAGTTTGTTACATACTTTCAGAATAAACTTTAATAATAAATTATTAATTAAACTTTGTTTTTGAGTATAATTATTTAAATTATTTATTTGAATATTGATAATATTAGTCATTTCTTTTTTTTACCAGGTTTCTTCTTTCCTTTTTCATCTTCAGCTGGTTTCTTAAGTTTATCAATTCTTGCTTTATTTCCAGATAAATCATCATGTAATTTACGAAATTCTTAATATTATTATAAAAATGTAGATTATTGAACTGCTAAAGGATCAACAAATTCACTTATTCTATATGGTATTTCAGTAGATAATATTAATCTTCTTTCTGTCAATATCTTTCTTAGTGCTTCTTTTATCTAAAATATTTATTTAATAAATAAATTACATTTCCTGCAGTAAATCCTTCAGTAGCATGAGCCAATGAACTTATAGGGAAATTGGGATGTAATTAAATCTTTCTTTCTTCAAAAAATTTCTAAAATATCATTATTCTTGTAGCATAATTTGGACAAGGGAAATAAACTCTTCTTTTAAAAAATGATTTTAATTATTTTTTATTTGCATTCCAAGGAGCATAACTACAACCAATAATAGTAACATTTTCTTTCTATTTTTCAGTAAAATATTTTCCATATTTCAATAAATATTTTCTTAATTTAACCCAATTCATTCCTCCAGCAGATGATGGTTATTAATCACCTTTCTTCTTCTTTTTCTTTCCTTTAAAAATACGTTCAATTTCATCAATATATATAATAGCAGGTTAGAAACAAGCAGCAGTTTTAAATGCTAATGATAATAAATAATCAGGTTTATCTTAATATTTATTTTCAATATTAGCAGGTGATAAATCTAATATTAAAGCATCACATTCAGTTTATAATGCTCTAACTGCATGTGTTTTACCTGAACCATGTGGTCCATAAAATAATACATAATTACTTTCTTTAACATTATCTTTAATATATGAAGATCCTAATGGCATTCCAATAAATTAAACTAAAACTTATCTTAAATCATAAATAGATGGATCAGCTACTTATTCTTATAACATTTCTTATTTTTATCTTAATGGATTACAATTTCCTATTAAATCTGAAATTTTAGCTGGTTCTAATTTCTTAGCTATACCTGATTCAATCAATTCAGCTAACATATCTCTAGGATCTTTTTTTGCAGTTCCTTTATCACCTGGAAATTTCTTTTTCTTCTTTTTTGCTACACTTCTAAAACCAAAATTAATATCTCCTTCTTCTAATAGATCATCTTCTTCTGCTTTTTCAACTACTTTAGCTTTCTTTTTTTTAGATTTCTTTTTTTTAGGATATTTCATTTTCTTTGCTTTTAATGCTATTCTTAAATTGATTAATTCCATATCAATCATTTCATCTACTACTTCTCTTATTTATTTTTCTACTCCTTTTGCAATTTCTCCTTTTAATAAAGAATTTTCATGTTTTTAATAAGGATTAAGTTGATCATTTCTCCATTCTTAATTATGTTTTTCTATTAAATCTTGCATCTTAACAATAGCTTCAGTAGGTCCTTATTCTACTCTTATATCTTCATCTTCTTGCTTCTTCTTCTTCTTCTTTTTTCCTTTATTCTTTTTAGCTGCTTTCTTTTCCTTATCTAATAAATCCATCATCTCTTATTCTTCTTCAGTTAATGGTAATCTTACTTAATCTTTTTTATAAAATTAAGCAACTTTAGGTGGTACTAATTTACCTTCTGCTTTTTATACTTCACTCATATACCATCTTCTTCTTTCAGCCAACATTTAATTTTAAATATCATCTTACCAATCATTCATTAAATTATCTCTTGCTTCAACTAAAGCTGTCTTATATTCTTATAATCTTTCCTATTATTTTTCTTTCATCTTCTCTCTCTATATATGATATGTCTTATAAGCATCTGTTTCTTATAATGGTTTTTCTAATGTAAATCCTAAAAATAATGATTCCTATTCTCTTAAATCCCAAACAATTTCTCTGGCTTTAAATCCTCTATAATATTTTTAAATCACAGTTATAGCTTCTTCTCTTTCTGTAGAATCATGTACTTCTAATCCTTCTTATAATTTCTTTTATTTTTCTTATTTCTTTAATTCTTACTTCTTCAATTACTTTGCCAATAACACTCTCTCAATACCTTATCTCCCTCTTTCATTTTTTTAAATAAACCATATAGCTTATTCAATATTTTCCAAAACTGCTTTATCTACTAATACTTCTTCTTCTGGTTAAGTGGTATCATGAAATTCATTTAAAAAATGATTAAGCATTTATTTACGATAAGCAAGTTTTCTATTTTATTCATCTGAAAAATAATGAGGTAAAGAAACTTCTGTATCTTCTATAAGTCTCTTTTCATCAAAAATTACTTAATGCAAATTTACAAAATCTGATCTTATAACATTTCCTTATGTTGAATAGAAAATCATGGCCTATATATTTTAAAATTATTAATGTACCTGCTTGATTTAAATTTATCTTAACATTGTATTTTCTAGCATCTTCTTTAATAATCGTCTTTTTTATGGATGTAACAATTAATCATAACAAGTTTCAAGTGATTTATATGCATCCACATAAAATAAGTATAACTTCCCATAGTATACAAACCACTCTTAATCAGGCCTTACTAATTTTAGATTTTGTTTGGCTTGGTTCTCAATTAATGGATCCATTTCAATTTGTAAGGCCTCCATAAGTTAATTGATGGATTGCCTCCATTTCAAATTAAAATACGAAGTTGACATATTAAATTAAATAAATATATGTCATTCAAAAAATTAGTATGGTGTTGATCCATTTGGATGTTAACAATCTGGACAAATATGTATAATATCTTTACAATCATCCATATAACAAGGTAGACAGGCTAGACATAAGATTCCAAAAGAACATAAAAGTAAAAGACATGAAACCATAAATGTACCTTTTCCAACTCTTCTATGTAATTTAGTTTGAATCTATTAACAAGATTGAAATATATAATTACTTATTTTTTGCAATTCTAACAAATTAGTTTAACGGAGTAAATTTATCCATCACCAGTTTAAACAAGTGAATTGACTAACTTAATTTATCTTAGACTTGTAATTTAAGGAATGATTTGAGTAATTAATTAAGGTATTTGATTATCACAGTTATTTTAAGATTAGATATGTTGATTCTAAGTTTAAAGATAGATATTTGTATTTCTTTCAAGATGTTAGAATATTTCATCTCCTGGACTTTTGCTTAAATCTTAATGAGCCATAAATTAATATTTTAGAATTGTTAAATGAATTATATAATGGATTGTTTTCAAGATACTTATATTAATTAAATAAACTGTTTATAAATCATTATTTTTGATAATTAATTTATGTTGTGAATTATAATTAATAAATGAGTACTCATATTATATAGAAAAATTCTGAATTGTAAAAATACTAAAAATTGAGAGCGCAAATCGTAGATTTTATAATTTAATTAATTTCTATAACCAAAAGTACACCAATGTCTCAAGAGAAAAGTAATTCCCCAAAGACTAAAGCTTATACTATGTCTTGTTCTAAATCAGAAGTAATGGATAATTAGACAGAAGTTATACATCGAGCAACAAAAAGCGAAATAATATAATCAAATAAAGATTAGGATGAAGGTCATATAAATAGTTAATAAATGAAGAATCAATCTGGAAACAATTTAAATATTATAATATTAAGCTTAGTTATTATCGGATTAATTGCTGGTTTAGTGATAGGATATAAAATAATGAAATCAGGAAATGTATAAGATGAGGAATAAATGAATGTGTTTGTTAATATTGTCTCAAAATCATTATTAAATAATCTTGAATAGCAAAAATTTCTCATTATAGATGATTAACTTAAATCACTGAAAAAATTTTATGAAAAATAATTAACTAATATTCTATGGCAGAAGGTAAGTTTATATAATGTAAAAAATAGATTGTGAAGCATATTCAATAATAACCTAATGTAATACTTAGTTAAGATAAGAAAAAATGGATATTAAAAGAGTGAAAAAAAACATTATTATTTTATTATTGACATTTCACAAATCAAGNGTATACAAACCACTCTTAATCAGGCCTTACTAATTTTAGATTTTGTTTGGCTTGGTTCTCAATTAATGGATCCATTTCAATTTGTAAGGCCTCCATAAGTTAATTGATGGATTGCCTCCATTTCAAATTAAAATACGAAGTTGACATATTAAATTAAATAAATATATGTCATTCAAAAAATTAGTATGGTGTTGATCCATTTGGATGTTAACAATCTGGACAAATATGTATAATATCTTTACAATCATCCATATAACAAGGTAGACAGGCTAGACATAAGATTCCAAAAGAACATAAAAGTAAAAGACATGAAACCATAAATGTACCTTTTCCAACTCTTCTATGTAATTTAGTTTGAATCTATTAACAAGATTGAAATATATAATTACTTATTTTTTGCAATTCTAACAAATTAGTTTAACGGAGTAAATTTATCCATCACCAGTTTAAACAAGTGAATTGACTAACTTAATTTATCTTAGACTTGTAATTTAAGGAATGATTTGAGTAATTAATTAAGGTATTTGATTATCACAGTTATTTTAAGATTAGATATGTTGATTCTAAGTTTAAAGATAGATATTTGTATTTCTTTCAAGATGTTAGAATATTTCATCTCCTGGACTTTTGCTTAAATCTTAATGAGCCATAAATTAATATTTTAGAATTGTTAAATGAATTATATAATGGATTGTTTTCAAGATACTTATATTAATTAAATAAACTGTTTATAAATCATTATTTTTGATAATTAATTTATGTTGTGAATTATAATTAATAAATGAGTACTCATATTATATAGAAAAATTCTGAATTGTAAAAATACTAAAAATTGAGAGCGCAAATCGTAGATTTTATAATTTAATTAATTTCTATAACCAAAAGTACACCAATGTCTCAAGAGAAAAGTAATTCCCCAAAGACTAAAGCTTATACTATGTCTTGTTCTAAATCAGAAGTAATGGATAATTAGACAGAAGTTATACATCGAGCAACAAAAAGCGAAATAATATAATCAAATAAAGATTAGGATGAAGGTCATATAAATAGTTAATAAATGAAGAATCAATCTGGAAACAATTTAAATATTATAATATTAAGCTTAGTTATTATCGGATTAATTGCTGGTTTAGTGATAGGATATAAAATAATGAAATCAGGAAATGTATAAGATGAGGAATAAATGAATGTGTTTGTTAATATTGTCTCAAAATCATTATTAAATAATCTTGAATAGCAAAAATTTCTCATTATAGATGATTAACTTAAATCACTGAAAAAATTTTATGAAAAATAATTAACTAATATTCTATGGCAGAAGGTAAGTTTATATAATGTAAAAAATAGATTGTGAAGCATATTCAATAATAACCTAATGTAATACTTAGTTAAGATAAGAAAAAATGGATATTAAAAGAGTGAAAAAAAACATTATTATTTTATTATTGACATTTCACAAATCAAGAAATGATTTAACTTTCTTAATTGTAGCTTCATCTTAAATTTCCCAATTTCCAGTCATAGGATCAATTTTTATTCTTGTTTCTTTACAATAATATGCTGCAGGTACTAATTTTATTACTTAATGTAATGGAATATTTAATTTTGGTATTTCTGGTACTTCATGTTCATGAAAATATGCATATAAACATCTTAATATTGCTTAATGTGCAATAACAATAACAGGTAATCTTGATCTTTCAATCTCAAATATTATTTATTCTACTCTACTAATTACATCAAGATATGATTCTCCTCTTGGATATCTATAAGTTAATTTATTCATTTTGCGTTCTTCATAATCTTAAGGAAATTTATCAGCAATCTATTAATATGTTAATCCATCACAAATTCCTGGATTTATTTCATCCAATGCTTTTAATGAATAATATTCCACTCCCAATAATTCACAAACTTCATTACTTGTATGTAATGCTCTTTACATAGTTGAAGTGAACATTTTAATATTTCTATTTCCTTCTAATTCTTAAACAAAATATTTGCCCAATTATTTTGCATACATTAAACCTGTTTAAGTTAAATCAGAATCACCTCCTACTTTATGTAGAACATTATATTAACTTTCTCCATGTCTAGACAAATATATTGGTCTAGGATATATATGCAAATTCATTAAATATGATACTAATTTAGATTATAAAAATCCTTAGATATTATAAATCATAATCTAAATTAATTATATTATGCTTTACATCATTCCCAATATCAATAATCTTTATAAATGATATATTCTCATCCATATCAATTGGTTCATAAACTTTATTATATTATTCAATTCTCTATTAGAAATCCTAAGTAGCTTCTTCAGATGATTTCCCAATATAATCAGGATTATTTAATTTTGTTAATTAAATATTTCTCAAAATAACATCTTCATCATTGCATATTGATTCTACCCAAAATACTTATACTTCACTAAACTTTTATTATAATGTCTCCATAATCAATTTTCTTCTTTACTTTGTAGTATTTGTTCCATCATATAAACTAACATCTCCTTCATTTCTTAGATAATTTATCATATCATTTAAAGCCAATAATGCACATTCATCTCTTGCTTTTGATGCCTTGAATTATATATATTCAATTACATCTTTATTACCAGGATCAAAGAAATTAGAGTTGCAATCTGTTCCACATATTTATCTCCTGTAATTTCCAATATTAAATACTTTACTCTTGAAACCCATCCAATTCAAATATCTACAAATCTTTCTAGATATGTAAGTCTTACCTCTGGCTGGTAATCCAACCATTCCAATAACCATCTTTTATTACTTACCTAACTCTTGCATTATAC